GCCCGCCTCACCCGCCGCCTCCTGCCCCTCGCAGCTCGGGACGGCGCCCCGTGCGTCTTCGGCGGCATGGTGTACCGGAGCGGGGAGTCCTTCCAGAGCAGCTGCAAGTACCAGTGCACCTGCCTGGACGGGGCGGTGGGCTGCGTGCCCCTCTGCAGCATGGACGTCCGCCTGCCCAGCCCCGACTGCCCCTACCCGCGCCGGGTGAAGCTCCCTGGAAAGTGCTGCGAGGAGTGGGTCTGCGACGAGGCCAAAGAGCAGACTGCCGTGGGACCTGCGCTCGCTGGTGAGTGGGGGTCTCTCTGTGGACGGCAGCCTGGGGGGAAGAGGCACCCTGCAGGGCCGTTGACAGCAGAGGGACGGGTTGACAGAGGGCACCCTGGCAGCTGAAGTGCTGCAGTAAGTGGAGTCACCCCATAGATAAGTGTGGTTGCCTGAGTCTCTCAGGAAAGGGGGGAGAGCCTTGAGCAGGGTGTGCAGTCACGCGGTGGTCCGAGCTTGGTTGTCTCTCTCCTGCAGCTTACAGACTGGAAGACACTTATGGTCCAGACCCAACAATGATGCGTGCCAACTGCCTGGTGCAGACCACGGAATGGAGTGCTTGTTCCAAGACCTGTGGCATGGGCATCTCAACCAGGGTCACCAATGATAACGCCTTCTGCAGACTGGAGAAACAGAGTAGACTCTGCATGGTCAGACCTTGCGAAGCAGACCTGGAGGAGAACATCAAGGTAAATAGTGTCATCTTTATGTATGATCTACTAGGATGCTTCTATCCACTAGCAAAAACCCAGTGTCTTGCCAAAAAATGTGCAGTTCTGACAGTCAGTTTCAAGTGGCTTACCTTTAAATTTGAGTTTTGCCCTAGTGGTGAGTAGTTTACAGCTAAATGTCCTTAATGTTCTCTCGCACTGTATTATGGCACTAGGTAAGGCCTAATGAAAATACAGTAAAGATTAGCATGTCTGCTTGCCGTTAGCTTGCAAGCTTAGTGCTATGTGAAAGCCTGCCTTCTAAGCATTTTGTATTCACTTACATCCTAACAGAAAGGCAAAAAGTGCATTCGCACCCCCAAAATCTCCAAGCCCATCAAGTTTGAGCTGTCTGGCTGCACCAGCGTGAAGACCTACAGAGCTAAGTTCTGTGGTGTCTGCACTGACGGGCGCTGCTGCACACCCCACAGAACAGCCACCCTCCCCGTGGAGTTCAAGTGCCCTGATGGGGACATCATGAAAAGGAAAATGATGTTCATCAAGACCTGCGCGTGCCACTACAACTGCCCTGGAGACAATGACATCTTTGAGTCTCTGTACTACAGAAAGATGTATGGAGACATGGCATAAAGCCCGAAGGAGACGCTAACTAGATTCTCAACTTGAACTGATTTGCATCTCATTTTGTAAACATGATTCAATAGCACAAGGTATTTAAATCAGTTTTTTTTTAATTTCAACAAACTGCTCCATGTGACTTAAGACAATTTTTCTACTGACCCCAAATGGTGGTTTGAAGAAGAAGGTAAAACGGACAGTGGGACCACAGCAAGACACAGCTTCAGAACACATTGTTCCTGAGGTGGTGTGAAGGGGTTAAGGGAAATAGGCAGGAAAAGCAGATTCAAGCAAATGTTCCCTTAATGTGGTACAGTGTGCTTCGTCTAGTAGTGCAATTGAGAAAGAGACCGTTAGCATGTTTGCTGGCGCTAGTTTAGTGACAACAACAGCTGGAATGCAAACCCTCACCCAGCAAAGTGCTAAGTAGAAGGTGTTCTGTTAGTCAGGACAGTAATGTTTCAGCTCTGACACTCTGATTCATATGGCTTAGTCAACAAGAATCAGAATCATGTCTATTAGACTGGACAGCTTGTGGCAGTTAATTGACCTGTAACAAGCTACTTTCTATTAATATTGTAAATACTGTGTGTATATATATTTGTACAGTTATCTAAATTAATTTAAAGTTTTGTGCCTTTGTTTAATGCTTTGAAATTTCAATGGTAGCCTTCTGTTTTGGAACAAGATAGGTAGGAGTTAAAAGCTTGTTTGACAATGCATTCAAAGCATGAAATAGATACTCTAGTGGAAATTGTTCAGATAGGGCCAAATGGGGAGTTGAGATCGAGACAAAGATTGTTAGAGTTAAGGTGCCTGTATCCTTACAAAGCATTCATCTGGCAAAATACATTTACTTCCACTTTTATTGGACAAGTGGCTTTAAGAAAAACGGCTCTTCTGTAGCTCATCGGTCTTTCCACTCGAGCATTTGTTTCTTTCTTTGACTATGGCTCTTTTTGGACAGTTTATTTGTTGAGAAGTGTGACCAAAAGTTACATGTTTGCACCTTTTTAGTTGAAAATAAAGTATTTATATTTTTTATATAAATGGCTTGGTATTTCATTTACCTTTAGTCTTCACTATTACTTTATATATTCCTAAAAGGGCTTGGCTTAGCACTAGATGAAAATCAAGTAATGCGTGGTGGGGTTTTTTGTCCGGAAGCACATACACTTACGAATAAGCTAATGATTTATGGTTACTTACTGTGTCACTAGTGAACCAACTGTAGTATGTTACTCTTCTGAGTTTACAATGGAGGGCAGGGCCAGGCTTGCTTTGCCAAGCCTGGTGTTGCGTTAGTACAGCAGGTTCCTCACGCATCGCATGTGGTAGCTTTAAAATGAGCCAGCTGCTCACCATAGTATTCAACTCCTTCTCTAATATACCTTGTAGAGTGCTTAATTTCATTGAAGTGTTCCACTGGTTAAGATTTGTTTTCAATTAAGGCAAGGAAAATGTTGTTAAAGTACCTGCATTGAACTGGCTCCTGACTCAAATCCAGAAGTCCAAAATGTGGTAAAATTCTCAGTGAATACCTAATGGGTTGTATCATAAAAATCACAGAATAATGCAGGTTGGAAGGGGCCTCTGAGATCTTCTGATTTAACCTTCATGCAGGGTTGGGCTAACTTGGATGTATTTTACTTGAATTAAGACCTTAGTATGCTAAGGTAGAGGACGGAACTCAGATGGCAAATACCTGGGTTATCTTCCTATTTGATGACAGGGGGCAAAACATTTTACGTGACAGTTCTGTCTATAAAGTGTCCATTGGCTCAAACTCTTGTAGGCCCACAGATGAGAAGTGTTTTAAGAGCTACACATTTTGATAATGGTCCAAACATTCTTCTCAGATAAGCAAAAAACAGTATACGGGTAGTTGTGAGTCACTTGCCTCATCCCCCTAAAGCTAAAAGGAAAGCTTCAGTCTTGTGCTAGGTACTACATTACTGTTACATTAGTAATGTAACAGTAACAGACTGTTTTGTCCCTTTATTAAGATGAGAGGATTCTTTTAATTTAAAATTAACCTTTGCACTAGAAGCATTAGTTCTTGTTTTCAGAAAAAACACGTACTCTCCAACAAGAATCCTTTTCA